GCACATTTAATCTCGATTAAGAGTCAAAATGCCGATACATTGTTACCCCTGAGGAATGCAAAAAGAGTCTCCGGTTTCCTACACTCACCATACCTACGAAACACAGCAGCATTATTCTGCTATTTTATGCTGGTATTTCTAGCGATTTTGGTCAAACCAAGGTTGTGCCGACACATTCTTACTAAAGCCATACTTTAGCTTTAGCGTGTCGTTACTACGTTAAAGTCTAATTTAAGAGAAATACGTATATATCTTATAGACACTCAAAAGTAAAAAGCTATTATGATCTCTAATCTTTTGATTGCATTTTATGATAGGAACCACGTCCAGCGTGGATTATTTTGGCTTAAAAATAAGAAATATGAACATCGTAAAAAAATGTTGTGAACACAATTCACTTCGCGCAACTGGCTAAATTTTCCAACACAACTCCCCCGTTTCGAGAAAGTTTTAATTGTCAGTGAAGTGGAATATTTCTAATTGTGGCTTAGCGCAGTGATCGAAGTTAGCACGAATGATTTCTGTCTATTTGTTTCAATTTAAATGCATTAATTTTATATAATGCATTTCGAATTATTAAGAAATGTATTTTGAAATACCATCTACATTATTTTCAAGATTAAAATTTTAAAATCTGACAAAGAAAATTGTTCGTGACTCCTGAAGCTGCGATTAATTACTAACATCTGTGGGGCATCGTGTCCAAAAGTGGCGGTCTAACGAAGAAGTAATAACCAACTACTACTCGTGTACTAAAATATAATGTCCGTTACAGAATTAAAAAAACCACAGCTAAACATAATATGACCTCCATCATATATTTGCCATAGTTACCCCGCTTGGTTGGCGGGTCGCAATCGCAGTTTTATTTCTAATTAGAGATTTAGGGAGTCGATGGTTGCGGGTTTCTTATTTTGTGGCATTTCTTATAGGAGACCTATATTAAACTATGGGTTGCCACTGCAGTGCAATGAAGATGCTTACTGCTTGTACTAATGATGAGTTTGCTTTTCTTGATTTTTCACAGACTTCTTTTCATATTTATGATTATGCCAGTCCCATCGTAAGATAATTTCAATACAAAGAAACGACAATCGAACTATCGGTAGTAATAAAACTAGTTTAAATAAAACATAAAGCTAAAAACCATCTTAGATCCTAAAGAGCTAAATAAATATTTTACATGGCAGTACCGCAGTAGCTGCTGCTATATTATAGTTGTAGCATGAATGGGTTGACTCGACTGGGGAAGGACCGCGCCCTCACAGTATAACAGCATGAAATAGCAGCTTAATGATGCTGTATTTCGTATGGTGAATGTAGAGAACCAAAATACTTTCTCAATGGATGCCTGTCATTCCATTAATCATTATCATAAGGGTATATTGTCATCCTTAGTCATAAGGGATGATAATGCATCAAAAATTTTATCCTCAGCGGGGATGAATGAAGATTTCTATGGGCCACAATATTTACGTACCATCCGGTGGACTGTGTATGTTCGTTTGTCACCTTATTCTTTAAAAAAATATTCTAATAATATTCCTATATCTGCAACATTATTGTTTAATAAGTGATATAATCTTTGTCTTTCTTGAATATTCTGGTCACGTAATAGGAGCAAGTGATGAACATATTTGGGCTTATCGCAACTTCCAAGATTAGGGAATGAGACTATTATCATCCAAAATAAAATTTATTTATTGATGATGATTACACTCTTATAATAATACTAAATATTTATTTTCTTATATCTCAAGACCTAGTGGTAATATCGAGTGTTAACAAATTACTCTAGCGGTATTATACAACGCCTATAACTATGAAACCTAATATTTACAGGGATTGCATAATGGCATATTTATTTATTAAAATAATTTTATTTACTTTGACTCTGCGGGTTTTTAATGTAGGTTTTCAAAAATAATGTATAGAAGGCATGCAACCTATATTGACAAATATTTACCTAATGGAAACTTCGTAAGGTTGTGGGACCGAATTATACCATATGACGCTGATAACAGCTAATGAGTTGTAAACTGTCCGATAAAATAGAAAAGAAAGAGAAGCGCGATGACATGACGCTTGCATCTTGCCTATTATAAAGTATAAAACAATTCATTACTTAAAAATAACTTGAATAATCGAAAGCAAATACAACAATTTTCTATATTCGAATATGATACTTTATTATTATTAATTTTTCAGCATAAGGTGATAAGTTATACAGATATTTTTGCTGGAAAAATATTTATGTTCCATTTAAATGTTTTTTTGCAACCATAAATTGTTATTATTTAGTTCAAATTTATTTTTAAAACCTATTTGGGTCTTGTCTGCGCCTTATAGTTAATAAAAACTATTATATTAATTTAAACTTGCTTTTTGTCAATATGTGGGTCGCTATGTGAAACTAGTTTTTATTGTTAGTATATTAAACAAAATAAAATTGTTCAAAATGAAAAGCTAGACAAAATAAAATAAAATCTTTAATAAAGATAAAAACGTTAGCGCACACTGTGACACTACTAGCCAACGAATGCCATTATTCTACTTCCTTTTTAGGTACATAATGTTGCCAGTAACAACTTAAATTATATCTTACAAATCACATTGCCCTTTAAAGGTACAGGTTTACCACAAATTTAGAATTAAATTTTTTATGTTCATGTATTGAACATAGTTAGGGCCAGGCGAGAATTTACAATAATACATTTTGCAACTCATTTTCTGTATTCTAAATATCAGAACAATAATAAAAAAGAGCATGTAAAAGTAAAAATATACCTTAAAAATAATTAATTAATAGGTAGAGGTCACAATATTGCAATGGACCTTAAATACACTTTATTATTAAACCTTACCTCGGCTACTCTTACATTCTTATCCTTGCCTGGAAACACCTTAACAATACGAGCTAGAGGCCATTCTAAAGGTGGTGTATTTAATTGTTTTACCAGTACAATATCACCTTCCTTTAGGTTAGGTAAATCATATTTCCATTTTGGGCGACTCTGTAACTGAGTTAGGTAATCTTTTGACCATGTTTTCCAGAAGTCTTGTTTCAGTTTTGTTACAACTTTCCAAAATTTTAAACGGTTAAATGAAATTTCAGACACATTGACCTCTGGATAACTGCAAATGGCTGTCCCAATAAGAAAATGCCCAGGTGTTAAATATTCACCTTCATTTGGATTAAATGAATGCAGAGGTCTAGAGTTTAAAACACCTTCTATTTGTATCATAACAGTATTAAATTCTTCATAGGTCAAGCACATGGTGCCTATTACTCTTTTAAGATGGTATTTGACACTCTTTACCCCTGCTTCCCAAAGTCCACCAAACTCTGGAGAGTAACTGGGAATAAACACAAACTTATTATAATTTGTTTTACAATAATTATAAACAGCATCTCTATGAGATTTAGAATTTTGTAACTCATACAATTCTTTGAGATGATTTTCAGCCCCCTTAAATGTCCTTGCATTATCGCAAAAGACTTTAGTTGGCATGCCTCGCTTTGATATGAAGCGATTGAAACATGCCAAAAAAGTTTCAGTAGAAAGATCTGATACTGTCTCAATGTGGATAGCCTTGGTTACAAAACAGACATATAGAGCAACATATCCTTTAGTTACAAGTGGTTTTCGAATCCTGGCTACCTTCATGCTAAAAGGGCCACAAAAATCAATACCAACATGCTGAAAGGGTCTAGTAGCATTAATTCTTTCTGCCGGCAAGGAGCCCATAAGTTGCTTCGCAGCCTCAGCCTTTAATCGAATACATTTTAAGCATTTGTGCAATACTTTTTTAATCTCTCTAATGCCACTGATAATCCAGTATTTCTGTGAGAGTGAACTATGCACTAACCTAGGGCCGGCATGCAATAATCGAAGGTGTTCCCTCTCAATAATCAAAGATGTTACCTTGGAATTCTGTGGCAATATAATAGGATGCATTTTATCGCGCGGAATGCCTGCATTCTGAAGCCTACCGCCCACACGAAGAATATCGTTTGCATCAATAAAGGGGTGCAAATTAGCAATACCTGACTTTATTTTTAAATTGTTCTTAATTGCATATATGTCATCAGCAAAATGATGTTTTTGTACAGAACGAATAATGACCAGAAGAGCGTTTTCTAGTTCTGTAGGAGTAAGAAAAGTGTCTTTAATTATTTGTTTCCGTTTTAAAGCATTAAGATAAAATCTATAAATATATGCAATAATATTTTGAAGTTTATTAAAACTTGAGTACCTTTCAAGCAATTCATATTGTGAAGTCTGTACTTGCCTTTGAAATAAGCAAGGAACTTCCTTTTCTTCTTGATTCAATGTATCAACATTGCTATAAGAATTATAAGTACAATCAGAACTTTGGCTGTGATCTGCTTCTGACAAATACTCAGGCCCATGCCACCGTAGAGTTTTTCCTTGTAAATTTTGTGGGTCTATGCCCCTCGAAATTAGGTCAGCAGGATTATCCAATGATTTTACATAGGACCATGATGACCTGTCAGTAAGTTCAACAATTTGCTTAATTCTATTATTAACAAAGGTATTAGCCTTTATTTTTCCAGACTGTATCCAGGCTAATACTATCTGGGAGTCACTGTATAAGTGAAGTGAATGTGCTAAACGGGATGTAATTATTTTACTAACCCTATTTGCTAGCTGTGCTAGCAACAATGCACTATTTAGCTCTAGCTGAGGTATGGTAAGTATTTTTGCCAAAGGTGCAACCCGTGATTTAGAACACACCAAGTTAACTTCAATATTCCCATTAGTTTTTAAAACTCGCAAATACAGGCAGCACCCATATGCTTTTGATGATGCATCGGCATAACCCACTAACTGAACAGATGCACCATCATGACTATTGAAATATCTGGGTACTATAATTTTATTCATTGACTTTAATTTGCTGTAAAAAATTTCCCATCGTAGTAAGTGCATAGGAGGCAACATTGTGTCCCACTCAATGCATATGGACCACAATTCTTACATTATTAATTTTGCTGAAACTATGATCGGGCCTATCAACCCCAAGGGGTCGAAGATTTTTCCAATGAAACCTAATATGCTCCGTTTGGTATTTAGTACTTTCCCCTCACAACAAGGGGTTTCAAAATAAAAATAGTCTAACACTATATTGTATTTTAAGCCCAATGCCTTAATAACATAATCTCTATTAATATTTAAATCCTCAAAATATCTACATTCATTTGGAATGTCCTCAAGGACAGGATGGTGGTTAGAGCACCACTTGTGTAAATTAAAATTACCTAATTTTAATAGCTCTATTAATTCATATTTTAACAAGTGAAGCTCATCAATATTATCACTTCCAGCGAGAATATCATCCACATAAGTGATCAATATTATCGCTTTTGCAGCCAAAGGATAACAATTTTTATATCTGTTCGCTAACTCTAAGAGGCAACGGGTTGCCAAAAATGTAGATGACTTCAGTCCATAAGTGACCGTCTGCAACTGCAAGCAAATTATGGGCATGTCAGGGTTTTTTCTCCAAAGAATGTTTTGAAGACTAGTGTGGTGATCATTAATCAGAACACATCGAAACATCTTTTCTATGTCGCATAGTAATGTAAACAAATAACTACGAAATAAAACAAGGATATCGAAAATTTCACTCTGCACTACAGGCCCATTCAGCATAACATCATTTAAAGAAATTTTATTTTTTGTTTTCATGCTTCCATCAAAAACCACTCGTAATTTAGTCGTCTTACTATCCTCATTGAAGACAGGGTGGTGTGATAAAAAATAAACAGAGCCACTATTAATATCATATGTACTTATATCGACCTTCTTTGCATGTCCCATCGCCACATATTGCTGTATAAAATCTTTATACATAATAGAGAGCATAGGACTTTGTTTGAGCCTTTTTTCTAGTGATAAAAACCTTTGCCAAGCAATTGAAAAGGAGTCCCCAAGTAGCAACTCATCTTTTGAACAGATGAGGGGCAAGTCAACTGAAAATCTGTTATGCTCAAAAGTGACAGACTCTTGAAAAATAATTTCTGATTTGTGCAACTCACTTGTAACGCCTGTTATAGGTTGAGGTAATGCTTCAGTTATCCAAAAATTTTCCATCACATTTTCTAGCTTTCCTTCATCACATATAACAAAATTAGACACTAAATGTGAGTTTTTATTTTTAGTCTCAATCTTACCAGCTACAACATATCCAAAAACTGTGTTTTGTAACACAGGACCATCTGAAATCTTTATACATCCATTTAACAATGAGTTGAAATAAACATCAACTCCTAACAATATTGAAATATCTGAAGGAATGTTAAACTGATCATCTGATAACAATATATGCTCTGGAATGTTTGATTGCGAAATATGAACAAAATTTTGAGGTAAGGGTGTCGTAATTGAGTCAACTATTAAACAGTTTACATTAAATGTTATATCTTTATACACACAAGACCTTAGAGATAAATTAATAGTTTGATTTATTACTGTGATTTTGTTGCCAATACCAATGATATTACTAGATGAATTTGAAAAAGGTTTCAAATTTAATTCTTTAACAAGAGTGTTTGTCACAAATGAGGCTTGGCTACCACTATCAAGCAGAGCTCGAACATAAATGTCTCGACCATATTTGTCAATAACCTTTACCTTAACAGTAGGCAGCAATGTAACTGCATTACAAGCATTGCTATTTGAAACCAGTGAAACCTTAGCCTCCTCCTCCACATGGAGGAGAGTATTATGAGGCTTTTTACAAATTCTACATTTAAATTTATATTTACAGACATGGTCTGAATAATCCCTTAAGCAAATAGAACACAATTTGTGATCTTTGACAAAAGATAAACGAGTCTCAATAGTGACCATCTTAAATTTTGGGCAATTAAAAATTGCATGATCTTTCATTTTAGAAAATTCACACAATACAATGGATTGTGTGGAAACATTTGCAGCTCTTACTACTGGCCTTAATTTATTATCAAAGCAATTACTCTTATGTGGGGCACTATCATTACTCTTATGTGGGGCACTATCTTCTAGTGCCATAGCACGTTTTTCCAAAAATGCTATAAATTCCACCATTGTTGGTAATATTTGTGGATCACGCTCTAACTGAAAAGCAAGGATTGTGTATGAATCCAGTTTCCTATTGAGGATACAAATTAAAACCCGATCCCAACTATCAATTGGTTCATCTAAGTTTTTTAAAGTGTGTAATTGCTGCTGTACTTGAGAAATAAAGGTCCGTATTGGGGCTGCTGTCCCTTTGAGCATAGGTGGAATATCCAAAAGTATATTTATATGGTTACATATAGAACGTGCCTTATTATCAAACCGTTTTTTAAGCAAAGTTAGTGCTTCCTGATATGATTTATTTACTAAGGGCAAGTTAACAATTACTGATAAGGCTTCATCTAATAAATATTTGCGTAGATAAAACAACTTTTGGACATCCGATAAAGTCCTATTATTATCAATGACAGCAATAAACAATTCATAAAATGGTTTAAATTTTGTACAATCTTTACCATCAAATGTGGGAACTTCCACATTAGGTAATTTAGACGAAGACATGCAATTAGATTGAGAGGGCTCTGATTTATTAAGAATTTTAATTGCTTCATTTATTTTACCAAGAGTCATATAATACTTATCTTCCATCTCACCAATATCCTCAGAGTCCTCTTCATCTAGGCCTAAAACATCCAACTGAATACTTTCATATTGTTTTAAAACTGAAATTAATTTATCTTTACGAGCTTCTAAAACGTCTATTGTTGCTGAAGCAATATTAGCTGGTTCGCGAACAAAACTTTCAATTCGCGTCAACGCTCCTTTGCAATGCGCCCGCGCAATTTTTAACCTTTTCAGCTCCGACATGATTGCGCAACACCAACTCCAAAATGCACTAAACTTATTATTGGCCTTATTTCTTTACGTTTCTATTTGAACTTACAATTCACAATCACAGACACTATTTTATTCTTCAAATGAAGTCGAGCCGTTGTTTACTAGAAGTCGAACTGTCAAAGTCAAATTCAATTGACAGTGACACTGACACTTCCAGATGAATGCCTTGTTGAGTTGCTCACCATAGACAAATATGGCGGACGGAAATAAATTTATTTTTCAATGAAGGTAGGTAAAAATCACAGATAGAAGCTTCTTTCTCGGTTCACCGTCAGTTACACAATTTGTGTAAAAAAATTTGAGATACTGCAGACTCTGCAATGCCTCGTCAATATTTTGACGAAAATGGATGAATATGAAGGTGCAATAGCAAAGCAAACCAACAAAACACCCAAACTATAAGCCGGGTGAGGTTCCGCCGCTTCATAGCCAGGACACTGTCCGAAGTAGAACGCACTACACCCTTCAATAATACATTGTATCTCACTTTACTTTTCGAAGGACCACTTAGCTTGTTCAAAATGAAAAGCTAGACAAAATAAAATAAAATCTTTAATAAAGATAAAAACGTTAGCGCACACTGTGACACTACTAGCCAACGAATGCCATTTTTCTACTTCCTTTTTAGGTACATAATGTTGCCAGTAACAACTTAAATTATATCTTACAAATCACATTGCCCTTTAAAGGTAGAGGTTTACCACAAATTTAGAATTAAATTTTTTATGTTCATGTATTGAACAAAATGAAAATTCTGAAACAAGTACCTACAAGTGTTAATGCAAATCACAAAAAAATTATTATACTAAAATATTTTTTTATTTTTGCTGTCCGTCATGTTTACACATATCAAGGCTTAATGGGTCTGTTTGTGAAAACATCCGATACGTTGTTTCCGTGCCAAACGCCGCGCGCCGGCATGACGTTATCCGGTTGCCATCATTAAAAGGATTTAAGAAAGGTTCATCAACATAAAAAAAAATCTTTGTATAAGAGTTTTATAATTGGGTTCTTTTGAACAACACTTCTGTGCAACTATTGTTATTTATATCAGTAATACCGATGATTATTATTTTTTGTATTTAATTTAAATTATTCATGGTGATTATTAAATAACTTTAATAAAAAAATATGTGTGCAATATCAAACAAAAACATTTCAAAGCAAATGATTTATTTAATTTGACAAGTGCGGCATAAAATGTAACATAAAAGTTTAATTTTAGAGCAAATAAATGTGACAATCCTTATTTTTAGACATGTAGATCCTACATTTTAGTGTATTAAATCAAAGGCATATTTTCTTTCGACTGAAATTGCTTTATAATAGTGACCCTCACGATGCAGGAGAAAATCCTAGTGTGGATGTTTTTACGTACGTTCCGTTAAAAGCCTAGTGTGAAGTTTTTACGTACGTTTAAAAAAATATTTATTAGCCATTTTTAAAGCACTGCACACAGAGACAAACAAAAATACCTCTTTCGCTTTATTATATCAAGTATAGATTCTATCTCACTCTCTCCCATAGATTTATATATTTGTCTCTTTATAGTGTCACTTTTTCGTTTCATTTGTTTCAAATCACAACTATGCTAAAAAAAAGTATTCACTTCAAAAATACTAGCAGTTAACAGTGGTAGAGCCACGCGGCCGCTTTTGCTGTCGCACGGATGGGCCGGCTCAAACTGGGGTGGTACCACGACCTCACACAATACCAGCGTGAAGTAGAGGTTTACCTCTGCGTTACGTTTGGTGAGTGCAGGTGGCCGTAGGCCCTTTTTACTGGAAATGAGGCATTCCATCTTAGTCCTCACGGGTGACAACGCATCTGCGTTTTGATTCGCAAACGAGGATAGATGTAGATGTCTATGAGCCGCAGCAACCACTTACCATCTGGTGGACTGTGTGCTCGTTTGTCACCCTTATCCTATAAAAAAAAATAGCATACAATATATTACGTGGGCATAAATAAACGTCCCGTCTGTATGATTGCATCGTTATGGGTTACTCTAACACCACCGATATTATGTGCATTGCAAAAAAATTCAGTAACAACCTGTGCTTAATGAATCATATTAGTATGTTTTTAAAGTAAGTATTATATATTGTTTTTATATTATTTTAATTATTATGTTTTGCTTAATGTATTCATGTTTTACTGCGTATTTTTTGTTTCTTGTTATATGTATGTGTGCAAAATAAAATATATTATTTATATGTAGTGTACACAGTAACCGGTTCTCATATTAGATTACAGAATTTTGGAAACCATTATTTTATTTAAAAATCACTATTTTAATAAATAATTATGGAGCTAATAAATAGGCATCCGTATAATATAGGAAGTAATAAGTATGTCAAGTAGAAGTTAAGCGGCGGCTGCCAATTGTGACGATTAAGAAAAACTCCTCCCTACAACAAGATAGGTGCAAGTCCAGCAGCACACTTTTATGGGCTAGTGAAGAACAAGAAGAATTTCTATCTTCGATTTGAAATCGACTTCAGCTAAGTACATTAACAATTTGACTATATTTTTGTATGTATGTTGTAACGAATGTCGTAGACTTTGTGTAGCACACCCAAATAATGTTAACCAATTTTGATTATTTTTCTTTTACCTTTTAGTTTCAAACTCAACTTTCGTTACGGTAATCTTGTACATTTTTATTTGCTTAAGCAAGCTACATTTCCTCTAAGATTTTGATGCATAATTGAAATATATTTAACAACTACGCAACGTAAATTATTGCTACGGGGCAATTCGGCTAATTGGATGCTAACAAGATCCCTTCTGATTTTACAGATAACTTATTTACAAATTATGGCAGGTTGTGATAGAAAATACAATTCAGTTAACTTTGAACTGAAATTCTATTTTGAAATGGCTTGAGTAATAATAAAGTTTAAACAGCTATCAAATTTAGAGATGATTTAACAGAACTAAAAATATTTGTTTTTTTAGTTTGTATTTTGATACGACTTAGGGACCTTCAAGAAAAGAGTTTACTCCTTTTTATAAGACCAACAACAGTGGTAGAGCCACGCGGCGGCTTTTGCTGTCGCACGGATGGGCCGGCTCGAACCGGGGTGGTACCACGACCTTACAGAATACCAGCGTGAAGTAGAGGTTTACCTCTGCGTTTCGCTTGGTGAGTGCAGGTGGCCGGAGGCCCTTTTTACTGGAAATGAGGCATTCCATCTTAGTCCTCACGGGTGACAACGCATCTGCATTTTGATTTGTAATAGAGGATAAATGTAGATGTCTATGGGCCGCAGCAACCACTTACCATCAGGTAGACAGTGTGCTCGTTTGCCACCCTTATCCTATAAAAAAAAACCGGCAACGCATCTTCCATTCCCCTGGTGTTGCGGTTGTTCACGGGCGGCGGTAGTCACTTACCATCAGGTGAGCCGCATGCTCGTCTCCTATAAAAAAAACCATATTATTGAATGTCTCATTAGTCTAGTGGTCATAAGAGTAACTTCTAATCACGAAGTCACGGGTTGTAATCCTGGGTCGGGCCAATATAAGTTATTGCGCTTTTCTGTCAAGAAATTCTTAACCCGGAGTCTACCCGGGCTAAGAGTTTCTCATGTTCTCTTGAAGAATTTTATGTTGTTTCAATTCCGTGTGTTGAAAAGCACGTAAAGCCATTAGTAATAGGCATGATTTTCCTCCGCTCGTGTCGGATTGCTATCCCATCGGACTTTCAGAGTGAGAGAATAGATAGTGCGCCTATATATATGCATACACTCGTGCATTATAATCCTGTCCAGCGTAGATGGCTATTTCACGTTGAGACTGGCCGCAGTTACCAAGATTTGATTGAATCAAATCGTCTGTTGTTTTGCTTTCCTCTTTAATGTGACGGGTTGTCGGTAACATCGTTAGTTTTTAACTTGTAGTTGTTAATTGGCAATGCTCCCATTCATCTTCTGGTTTGTTTTCCTTTTTTGCCTCTTACAACACGCACGGGATTCTATAGGGTAGCGAAAATTCTTATAGCGCCACTTCACGGTGAAAATATAACAAAAAAAAAACGTAATTTTTACAACATCCACTACATGCGAACCTTTCGAAATTAAATATACGAAAAAAGTATCTTTTTCAAATGACTTTAATAATAAATATAATTGATTTCTTATATTTAGATTTTAGACGAATATAAAGGAACCCAAATTTCTGCCAATGAATACTATTGAAATTGTAAAACATCGTTAGATCAATAGAGGGAAAGCTAAATACTTCACGATCCGGCTTATAATCCTGTAATTAATTAAATTAAGCCTTAAGTCGAGCAAACTAACTGCAGGGCTATTCAATATACTGTGAAGGCATTAATTAAGAGCCAACCAAAATTAATAATTAATACCTAAGGATAGCCCGGGTCAGTTAACTATACATGTCAGTTTTAGCCGAAAATCAAAGATCTGTGATTGCCGTAGATGCTGCAATCTTTCTTAACCATTATACATCTATTACAACATTTAAAAATCATAGATAAATAGATTCATAAAAGGGATTCTGCAGGCAATTTGCTGTTTCAGTTTGCCTCTGTCGCCTCTTATGACACCCACGGGACGATGTAGGGTAGTGGATATTCTCACACCGCCACCACACAGTTACAATCACTTTAATCGTCGGGAATTAAAGTCAAGAAAACCAAACTCGACAAAATTGATTTTAAAAGGTTTGTTCGTAATCACCTATTAAAGACCACGATTCTTACATGATCATCAAAGTATATCATATGTATTGTTAAACAGTCGTATATTCATAGTTATTTATAATAATACTTATTATATTTGTATATTGTATATATGAAGTGCGATGTATATACTTATACAATATCCACAAAATTTTATCGTCTCGTGGGTGTCGTCAGAGGCAAAAGAGGGAAAAAAAATTCAGAAGATGGGCAGCAGCGACTAGCTAATAACGACTAAAAATAAAAATAAACTGCGGTTGCC